CCCCCCGTTCCTCGGACAAAGGACGTGACAGTGGCGGCACCCTGCGGGTCAGAGGCACTTGTCTTACTCTGGATGCCATGAAAGTCTGGCGGAGGTGGCACGGGGTCTGCAGGAGGAAGGCTTGTAAGTGGCCCTCCAAACCCTGGGGTGGGAGGTGTCACGTGGCTGGAGCTCCGCCACCTGTTTGAATTTTCTCTCCAAACCTCACCTTCCCTCCTCAGCTAGGTAATCTCCGTGCACTTAAGCAGGCTATAAACATGGATGGCCTAGATCTGCCTCATATGTAATGCAATGACATGGGGAAATAGGTTGGCACCCTTTTTCCTGAGGCTGCAGTATGCATCACGGAGGCAGCAGGGTAAGTAATGCAGTAGAGCAAGCTGTGACGCGGACCCCAAAGACTGATGAAGGAATTAGCTGGGAAGCCGTTCTCCAGAACAGAACGGTGTCAGTTATGGCTTTAGCAGTCCAGGGGGTGATGGGTGCTGTCGTTGCACCTGTATTCCAGCCACAGAGGGGAAATCACCGGAGCTGGCCACCAGCCGCAGGACCCGTGCAATCAGCTGACCCACAAGGGAGCTGCCAAGAAAATCCACACTGATGATTGGTCCTGGCTAACCCCCAGGATACCAGATGTTGGAGGCTGGTGGGGAAGAGGAGGAATATTTTTTTGGGAGGGGATTCTTACTCAGTCTGGCTTGTGGGGGTGTGATTTTTTTTCTAGAAATAGAAAACAATACTATTACTAGAATAAGTCAGAGTTTCCATGATAAGGCTGGTGCAGGCAATCGTTCATGCTACCTCTGAAAGCGATGAGACACCAACGCCAGGAAAGGAGGAATTTCAACAGGAAGTTGTTCATTTTGCAAATAGCAATAGGGTAAGGTTGTTCTTATATATGAATACAAACTGGGGATTCCAGAACCCCAGAATCAGCAAACATGAGCCAAGATAGGCACAAGAGAAAGATCCAGAAGCCATAGCAGTGGCGGAGGAGTGGCACCAACAACCGGTCAGGAGCACAGGCTGAACAAGGATTAGAAACAAGCCGCTCATTGTTCGATCTGCTGCCTTGCACATTTTCCAGAGAAAGAAGCAAGCTAGAAATAGAAATGTGTGGTCAAGATCGAGGCTTTTCTTTTCCCAAATTAACCATTAGCATTTGTTCCTAATAAGGGAAGTAGGCATGTGACATCTGTAATCAACCTGATAAAAGGCTTGTTTGTATGTAAATGTTGTCTTTTCCTCTAAGAGGACATCCTATAGCTACAGATCGATAGCACTTCAAAGCACTTGTGGATTAATTCATATCAAGAGAGAAAGTTTTTCCTACATTTATATAATACATTTACATATTATTACATATATTACATTAATCTATGCATTACATTGTTACATACATTATTGCATACATGTATTGTGCACATTTTACTATATTAGAATTCTTTATTACTATTATTATTAATTTAAATATATTAGCTGCCCAACTCCGGTGGACTACAACTACATTGACTGATGATTAAGTGCCATAAAGCTGGTGTCAGCTCTTAGCAACCACAGAGATAGATTTTCTCCAACCAGCTGTTAAAAGTGAGTATAAAGAGATTGAAGTTAGCAGGAATTATATCCCTTGTTATTAGCCTTGGGTAAACAGCCTAGTCATTGCACAAAAGGAAAACGGATCATTGTGCTTGTATTTGGATCCCAAAGATCTCAATAAACTAAAAAGAGGCAACGTTTGGCCTTACTGATGGCACAGGGTATGCCAAGTCATCTTGCAGGGAAAACACGCATTTGTGAATGGGAAGTAGGACTACTGGCGTGGACAGCTTGATACACCAGCAGCAGAGCTGCCTGTATTTAACTTACCGGGGGGAGATTTTATC